TTCCAACAAATATCAATGCATGCTTGTACTCAATTACTTCCCAAACCAAGAAATCTTGGTGGCCACCTCAGCAGACATCCGTGTCTCCGTACGCCATTCCCGTGCGGTCAGAGCAGCGAGCGTGACCTGCAGTTAGAGCTGGAGCCGTGTCCAGCCATCGGTGTCACATGGAGCTCGGGGACACAGGCAGGAGAAGGCTTGCCATGTGTGTTATACAGACAGTGGGATGGCTGCCCACCCGGCCGATGTTGGAAATTGATCCAGGATCTCCCAGAGAGAAAACCACGTGTGTCTACAGTTCAAATTAAAAACAAGTTAAGTAAGGGATGGCTTGCTGTCGTCTGCTCCTCAGGCACAGTTCGCTCACATTATGCACTAGCTATGGCTCACAGGAGGCTTTCACATTCTTGGAAGTGCAGCCACACAGACACTTAGCAGCAAGACAGACCCGTGCGCTTGCATGGAGAGAGGGCTCCTTACAGACCTGCTCTTGGCTGGGCGCAAGCTCAGAAGGGCTGGCAAAGGTTACTTGTTTACTTTTTGTTATTACCGTCAATGGAGGATCATTTCGGAGCTTTTTTCCCTGATTTGGGGACAGCCTGCTGAGCACTTCCTTTGCTGTTGCAATGGGCCCTGTGGTGCCTCCGTCCAAGGACTTGGCAGGAGAGCAACGGAAATCGAAGCGATGCTGCCAGATATAGGAATACACCACCACCTCTCTGTCCACTCAGCTAGTGACCGGTCCTGCTGGCCTTATTGCAGTTTTCACCTTTTTAACTGGTCTCTGGTTTCTACCCCACTGGGCTCCACACCAGGGCAGAACATTTCAATACCTTTACGGTCAGCTTCTATTGAGGGTTTCCCAGTCCCAGAGCGTCTGAGAGTTTTGTGTAGGTACATTCTGAAATCACCCTTTTGTGATCCAATATGAGTCCGAGGAAATAAAGTAGCTTGTTAATACAGAACAAGAGTAAAAAAAGAAATAAAAAAAAGAAGATTTGGCTGATGGCTGTGAGAGGAGAGAGATATTAAGTGCTCTAAGAAGTAGTCAGCAATCAAACACTTCAGGGTGCGAAACCTGACTCTGCCACCAACCCCCACAGTTCCTCTCAGTTTAGGACATCTCCATTTCCCCTCCTATAAAATGGGGGGAAAAGACTAAGATTTACTTACCTTAGAGTGATCAAAGGACATGAGATTCTAAAGCACTTTGAGGAGGAAGAAAAATTGCCTATTTCCAGCTGGCATCGTGTTTTCCACTTAGTGGAGTCTCATCTACCCGTGAGTTTGGCTCAGGAAGGTCTGTGTACAACTGGAGTTGCTGAGCCAAAAGCCCATTTCAGATTTCACACATGCAAGTGGAAATAAGGAGGGGTGTCCGGGAACCAACAGCGCTTCACTGGTGCAAAAAGAGAATCAGGCCAAACCACGTCAATTCCTCCTTCCTTTACGTTCAGAGGTGATCATCGATCCCCCTGAGACTCAGCATGTCCTGGTTTGTTCATATTCCCATGGGTTTGGGAGCGAGATTTGCAAGCACAGTAGAGTCATTAAAATTTTGACTGTGTCTGGCATTGCCTTGGAGAGACTCACGGTCATTCTACAAGTCCACAAGAAACAAGTGAAAAATGTAACTCTGCACTCAACACACACATACACAGAGTGTCGCTGGAGAAATAATAGTGGATGTGAGGTGCTGGTCAATGGTAATTACTGAGAATGCTGGATCTGAGTGTCTCCTGCGGGACCGGTACCGGGTTCCTCGGGCTGGATGCCGTGTGTCAGCGGCTGAGGGGCAGCGGTGCTGGCAGCGCCATGGGCAGATGAGGAAGAGGCCGCACCGTCAGTACTGAAAGAGGATGACCTGGTGGGAAAAAGGTGAAGGGAGCGTTAGATGGCCCTCGCAGTGGAAATGTGTATTTGGGGACAAACTAGCAGTTAGTTTATAGGCTCTGTAACAGAGCAGCTACCAGGAAAGATGAAGACATGGCCAAGGGTCCTTATTCTGTCCACCTCACTTCTGAACAGCACAGGCTTCCCTCAACCTGCTGCACCTCACTGTTCTGTACATCCAGCGTCTGTGGGGGGCCCAGCCGCAGAGCTGAGCACAGCTCAGTTCTCCCACAGCCCCTGCGCTGGGTACCCCAAGGGAGAGGAGCCATGCGTCCCACATGTAGAGGGAAGCGGAGACTGTGTGTTTACATGCATTTATCCCAGGATCTCAGCTAGCACTGCTTTTAAAACATTTTGGATGTGGAAAAAGAAGCTGCGTCGAATTTCAGGTATTCGACATGCATGTGATTGTTTGGAAAAGGAGCTGGCTGGGGGGCGCAGCTCCATGTCCCGAGAACCCAGTTCTGCACCAGTTGTGAGCAAGTGATTGCATTTAAGTCCCAGGAACTACTTGCTGCAACGAAGTTTCTCTGAATGACAGCACTGGGACTGTATCATATTTTCTGAAAAACCCCCCAGCAGCTTGCTGGGCAGATATAATGACAAAAAAGGAACATTTAGACTGGAAAAGTAACTTCGCTGTGCTCCTGCTTGTGTTTAGCGAAGCAGAGCTTGATAAGCTACCGTTGCTGCACTGAATAAAGAGAGATTTGCAAAGAGAGATGTAGAGAACTTCTAACAGCAAAGACAAAAGCTAAAACCAATAAGAGTTGCCAAAGGCTCAGCGTTTCCTCAAAACGAAGCCACTTAAACTGAGATCCTAAATAAAATCTTATGACCCTAAGCGTGTTTCAGAATCTTGCCCCCAAATAAGCTGTGTGTTAGAACAGACACATACTTTAAGTGCTGAACAGAAAAATATCAATATGCAACATTGTTTCCTAGCCAGCCATTGTGAAATAACATTCCCACTTCAGATACTGTAACAGCCAGTTGTTATTTTTTAAGCAACACTGGAATCCCCAAGAAATGAATCTTTGTTATTAACTCATGGAAAACTGGAGCAGGAGGACAGAGCTTATTGCACACGGGAAGGGGAGAAACCAGAGAGGAGTTTGGGCAGGAGGACATCAAAAGCCTTCAGTGGAGGCAGGCACAGCATCCCAGCAACCAGGGATTTAGTGAAGGACAAAGTGTTGCTGTTTTGACCAACATCAATCTAGGGCCACCAAAATTAAGACAAGACACGTGAGTGGGCAGCAGCCACCAGAGATCATGGAGAAGCAGTGATGCTGACACGAGACGGCAGGGGCAATGACGTTACACAAACATCTTTGCTATGGTTGAGGTTTGGCCCCAAAGCCTGAAACAGGGACTACAATTAATTACCTTCTCACCCCTATTAGATAGTGGTCCTTCCATGTCTGCTTTGAGGTGCACTGGTGGAGCATCAGTGCACTTGTCCACACTGTACCTGACCTGTGGATGAGAAGAGGCTTCAGCCTCCATTACTGCAAAAAACACATGCCCTGCAGCGGCACAGTCAGGCTGTTGAGGAGCAGCTCGGGACACGAGTGGGAGAGGATGTGCTTGGTGGAGGGCACAGCACCCTACTACGGCCATATGGGCAACGGAGGGGAGAAACTGCACAAGAGTCATGGAGCCCTCCACCCAGACATGGCCAAAGCTACCATTTGCAAAACATTCACAGCACTTTGCAACTGTTTGAGAAAGCAACTCTGATTTGTGAGCAGGAAGGAGACCACTTGAGCACTGAGCTCAACAGAGCTCATTCACACCCCTTTCTCCATGACCAAGCAAACACGAGGCCAAGGACCAGTCAGATAAAACTGGCAGTGACTTCCCTGGGGATGAGGCATGGAGAGAAAGAGGCTGCAGCAGCCTCCTCTCCCCGCCTTCTCTCATCTGGGGCTTCCCATAAAGGACCCTTCAGAAAATCCCAAACACAAAGTTCATCAGACCACGAGGAGGAGGAGGAGGGCATTGTGCCATGGTGCTACCGCCCGCTCCCAGGGAGCACCCACTGCCCCACCATCCCCAGCACCCTCCTGTCCCCAGCACCCCGCTGTCCTCGAGCCCCACAAGCTGCCGCTTACTTTCTATGTATCCGTGCAGTGTCACCATGCGGGCCCGGTCCGGGCTGCTGAAGGGTGAGTAGTGGATGTCATCGGAGAGCGAAGAAGGGATGCGGGGCTGGGGGGCTCCCGAGGGCGGCACCGTGTGCTGCGGGGTGTGTTTTTTATGGCGGGCTCTGCAGTTTTGAAACCAAACCTGCAACAAAAGCAGCAAACGCTGTGTCAACAGGGAGACGATCGGGTTGGAGTGTAATCCTTTGCCAAGACCCTGTGATGGGTGTCTCTTCCAAATGTTTAAAAAAAAGAAACCAGATTTAGAAATCTGCACACTGAAATACCTCACCAGCATTTCAACGGCTTCCAGAGGTTTGTTTTACACTCACTAGAGCAAGAATTTTGTCTCAAGACAGCACAGACATTAGGGTTCCCAAAGTGGCATCTCTGTGATTAATTTGTCTTGGTCAAAACCAACACCATTCTTTTTTAAGGTAATTAAAAACTTTTGAGCTAGTTGCAGGAGGCACTGAGTGAACCACCCTGACTGGGTGATGCAGAAACTCACATTAACGATCACACTATTGCCTTCTGCACTTAAAACATGCATGGAGGGGAGTTCTGTGTTGATGCGGTGATTTCTTTTATGCTTTAATTTTTGAAGTATATCTGCAAGTAAAATCTCCTCCAAAGCTGGGAGAAGATCAGCTCTGTGAGGCCGCGCATGCTGGACTATGGAGAAGGAAACAGCCGCAAGAGTTTGACAAATTGTTTCCTGTTCAAAGTGCCTTTTAAAAGTCTCCACATAAAAAATAGCCCAGCATGCAGACTGCTTGAACTGTAGCTAAATGAAGAATCTCAGTAACTGAGGCTCAAGCCAGGTTTTCACACACAAAATTTAAATGTGTCGTTGGCAAAACAATCCTGGGTGAAAGCTCCACATTTATTTCAGTCGCTCATGTTTTTATTGTATGCAGAAAGTGTGTCAGCAGAACATTAAAGTGAAGAGCAAAATGTCACCAGGGAGCAAAGCTGGGCTGTCCATGGGGAGCTGGGAGTTGCAGAGGGAACATTTCCATTGCATCATAAGAAGGAAAACCAAATAGAAAACCCACAAAACAGAGAAAGGACGGTGCTGGCATCGCTACAGGACTTGGCAAAGCCAACACACCATGAGGCAGCACGGAGCTGATGGATGTGGCCAGTCCTGGGGTTGACGCGTGGGAGCGAAGGGCTACAGGGACATGAGCCCTATCTGGCACCAGCCTTTTGCTGCCCCTACCTCTGCCCCTCACCTGAATGACTCTGCGGCTCAGCCCCGTCATGTCCGCCAGCTTCTGAAGCGTTTGTGCGTCGGGGTTGTTGTCCTGAGCAAACTGTGCCTGCATGACCTGAGGTGGGAGAAAAAAGATAGAGGGGGCCCAGGATGCGGCCAGGGAGCTGCAGCCCCTCCAGCCCTACTCTCGGCCCAGCCTCGCTACCTGCAGCTGCTCAGCAGTGAAGGAGGTGCGGGCCCTCTTGGCCGGTTTCGGCTGGCTGTCCTGCTCCGAGGGCACAGCCCCCTCCAGCGTGATCCCGTTGCCTACGAGAGAGAAGCCGCAGGTCAGAAACTCCCCTGGCCACCATCTGCCTTCACCCTGCATTCGACGGCTGCTTGACGGGGGAAAAATATGCCTGATGGTGCGGGGCACCTGCAGCATCCCTTGCTGAAGGGCTGGCACCATTGCTTAGGAGCTGCCTCAGGCTGCTGAGCCCCTCCAGGAGACACCAGAGGCCCTGAGGAGTTTGCAGCGAGTTGGTGAAAGATGCAGGGAATGAAGGACGGGGAAACAGCAGCAGGAAGGTGGATTTTGAGGTGATGTCCTGCTGGCCCTGACTCGCCATCACCATTTGGCCGCATCCTCCAGCAAGCAGCTCAGAAGGGGACCCTGCCTCCACCAGGCTCACCGACACCCATCAGTCCTGCCCCACGCTGCTCCCTGCGAACCCATCTTCCCCTGCAGGCACTGCCTCCATCAGTTGTTTCATTTGCTCAGAGCGTTTAAACAGGCTCCTTTCCGTGGCTCCAAATCCTCCCAGCACCCTGACTTCCTCCTCCTGATCCCGCAGCAGGAGCATCACCACCCCCATGGCCTCGGGGTGCCCGTGCTTTGAACAGCAACCATGTTAAGGGGGATATGCTAAGCAGGGGACATCCGCTTGCCATTGGGGAGAGCCCAGCCATACTTGCACAGCTACGGAGCCTGTGGGGAGGGCAGCCGGAGCTGAGGTCCCTTGTTCCTCACCAGGGTTCGTGCTGCAGCCCATGTCATGCCCAGTCCAGCTGCTCTCGGCCATGCAGTTGAAGCAATGAGGAATGATGGATGAGGGAGGATGACTGAGCTGGGCTGGCGCTCGCCCCGCTCCCAGGATGAGCCTGCACACCCCGGTGCTTGCTCTATGAGCTGGACTGGGCTGTGATTGTCTTGGCTTGAGTTGAAGGACTTTCTCATATAGTTTGACTTGTTCTTTTCAGATGATGAATGGGACTCTGACTTCAGCAACATCTGTTTATTTTTCTTGTATGTAAAACCTCATGTGCAGAAGAAATTGCTGGGTAATTACTGGAGGGGGGAGCATGGCCCTTCAACTCCACAGCAACTGCAGCTCTTCAAAGCGATCTAATCCCCTTCTCAAAACCAGGGGACACTTGGACACAGGTACTCACACAGGGACTCTCTGTGTGCCACTGCACTGCCCAGCACCATGGGGCTCAGCCCACATGAGCAGGACCCTGTGGCAAACCCATCACCCTGGCCCCAGGCCGGGCTAACACCTCTGCAGGACCCCCCAGTGCCGGATCCTGCCATCCTCACATCATCCTGCTCCTCCAGGCCATGCGGCTTCTCCCCCTTTATCCCCGCTCGCACCTCCGCAGCAGCCGACCATATGGACTGAGCCGGCACGAGCCACGTCCTGAGCCAAAACCCTCCCTGCCCAACTGGGCACTCTGTTTTCAGCCTCTTACTCAAATGCTGTAAACAGAAACACTGATTATTTTCACGTCAGGTTGTTAATGGCTTCCATATGCTGCATGTGCTGGGATGCTGCATTTACCTCCCCATGCCCACCAAGAGCTAGCAAGGGGCATGGTGGGCTGGAGCCTAGGGGCAATGCCCCAGTGCAGCCCCAGACCCAGGAGGGTCCTGGGCACTTCCCTCACCCAGCACAGCACCCACACAATAAAAGCAAACAGCCCTGCAGCCATTGCTCCCCACAGACATGAGCACGGGAGGGAGATGCACGTGGCCACAGCCCCAGCCCATGGGGCAGGACCCGATTGGTCTCCCTCCTGCCCCAGCCATGGCCAAGCCTCTGCAACACTGAGCCCAGGCAGCTGCCTGCTCCCCAGAGCTGCAATCACCCCCATACCAATGTATCTCGGGTGCTTTCCAGCACAGGACAGCCCCGGTACTGCCTGGCCACAGTACCAGGGGGTACGCACCACATTGGACTGACCCCACCAAGCTGCTCCTCTGAGCATCAATGTGGCCACTGCCACGCAGGAGGATGTGGCTGTGCCCAAGGGAAGGGGGTGACCTCGGTGTCACCAGCCTGGCCCTGGGGCCGGATTGGGAAAGCACCAGCTGCTCGCGGTGCGCTGCAGCGGGGACGGCAACACGTGGCGCAGGCAGGGCGGGTGGAAAATGATGGGAAGGTTTTGTCAGATTGCCAGCTTTCCCACCTTCTAGATTTATGACTCACAACCTCAAAATCCCAGTGGCTTCCTCACTCGCTGCATGTGATGTGCAAGGTTGCATGGGCCCAGGACTTTATCCCTGACATTGCCAGCGGCAACCCAGGACCCATTGCACTGGCCACGGCCTCACACTCAACTCCCCCGGGGCCACCCATCACCCTGTTTTGGCAATGACAAGACAAATTCTGGCACCCCATGATGGGGGTCAGCACAGGGGATAGGGACGGCACAGGACGAGGCGCCGGCGCTGGGGCTGCATACCATTTTCTGCTGCTCGCTTGAGGTTCTCAATCATGGTGTCGTAGTGGATCCGGCACAGCACCTTCTCCTCCACCAAG